CGCAGAGCGGGCCCGCGCCCGGGGCGCCGCGTTATTTGGGGGCGTTCCGTGTAGTCCTCAACTCTGGGCCGTGCCATCCGGTGCCTCCGAGTGCCGACTCGGTGCCGGGCGCCGGGCCGAGCGGGGAACAAATCCGACGAGGCCTCCTGGAGCCCTTCCGGAACTTGCGGGGGAGGTGAGGGACACACATTCAGCAACCCAGTAGATCAACAAAATGTGTTCTGCAAGAACACAAAACGGGGCGGCGTGATGGTGGCCGGGCTGGCGGCGGCCGACGGAGGCCTCGCCGAGGGGGCGAGTTTGGGCCAGCACCTGGCTGGGCAGGAGCCGGCCCTGGACGATGTGGGGGAACGGGGTGCCCGGTGGAGCAGACGGAGCCTGGTTGCAGTGAACGAGGTGCGAGGCCCCGGCGGGAAGGGATTCGCCTCGGTTTTGTTGACGGACGGATGCTGCGGTGCATTGCATCCGGTGAGGGGTACAGCAGAGTCAGTATTTGCCGAATGGGAGCCCTCTCCCCGACAGTAACCGTGAACACTTATTTATGTATCTGTGTACTTGCTTACTGTTTGTCTCCACCACGGTCTGTTGACCCCTGAGGGTGATGGCCTTGCCCGACTTGTGGACTCCCCTTCCCCAAGACTTGGCACAGCCCCTGGCGTTTGCGGGCATTAATAGGCATTTGTTGAATGAACGCACAAGCTTTCATTTGAGCGCTCGCTCTGTTCCAGACGCTGTTTTGTGGCCGGGGACTTCGTGGTAGAGCGAGGCAGACAAGGGCCCTGTGTTCTTGTTGCTCCCAGCCTGGGAGGACACAGATAAACACTCGGATTATGAAGTGTGATAAGGGTCTCAGAGGAAGAGAACAGGGTGTGGAAGGGAGATTATTTAGCAGGACCTAATACTGATTGAACTGGAAGTCACTTGGGGTGAACATTTTATTTCCTGGGCCACAGCTTTCATCCTATGGTTCTTTCCCTTTGTCTTTCTGAAGGGTCTTTAATTTCAGAAGAGAACACCCCTAGCCAAGGGCTGATGTCAGCAATCCTTGGGTTGGCCACAAAAGGCAATTGCAAAGTCAGGAGAAAACCCCGAGTGACAGGTGAGGCTGCAGGGAAGGCCCAGGTCCCTCTTGGTTTCTGGAGCCCCTCTGGCTTCATCACCTGGTACCCATTTACCTGGCAGGCTCTGAGCTGAGCTGTCAGTAGCACCGGAAAGATTCAGGAAACCGTGGCAAGAGAAGCAGGCTCCCTTCTTTGTAGCAGGTAGATTTGTTCCATCCTGTTAGTACTCGGGCCAAGAGACTTATCAAGCTTAAATCTCGCAGGTTTTGAACAAAAGCCCTAATCACCACAAAGATTCCAGTTTCACCAAGTTGAGTGCCATTACACATTAACTAGTAGAATATACTTGGGATCCTTTTCAACTGAAAATCAGTGAAAGAAAAAATGTGGTTTATCTTTGTCTAGAAGGAAAATGAAAATGCTAGAAGGAGCTCTGTGTGCTACGAGGTTTTCAGAGCTCAGATGAGTGTGTGTGTGTTGTCTGTATCTGTCTGTGTCTTCGTGTCTCCTTGCCTTGGGTTGTCAATCAAGCAGCATGGGTGTTAGTGCAGAAAGCTCCGTCACACCTGACATTTTCCTATCTTTTCTGGAGTTTGTTACTGGTTCACCAGAAGGGATCGCCGACCTTAGTCTTCTCTGACTTGTACTGGCTGAATGAATAATCTCCCTTTCCTTTTAGTAATCCTTCTGAGGGAAAGGAGGCAGGCCGAGGGTTTCTGTAGTGACAGCCAATGAGAAGACTTGAAAATAAGGTTATTCAACTAACCAGTAGGACTCGGCGAAGGGAAAGATCAGCTCACTTTCTAACAGTCTGCTGTCTCTGAACGGTTGTCACCTTTAGTCCTTTAGCTGCTGCAGTGGGAAGGTTCCTGGTGTGGATATTAGTAAAGACAGTACCAGGTACCTCTCCTCTGCCGATTTTTCTAGGTTAAATGTGAATCTTAAAATGAACCTACATTAAAACGTACTTCGAATCATTGGTCTGAAATTAGGGTGACTTTCTCTCCCTGAAATGAAAAGAGAAACAAAACTTTGTAAAAGAAACCACGTAACAGGAAAAACAGTACACGTGAGATGGTGATGGTGGCGGATGTCAACCCAATCATATTTTTGTCATTGCCACAGGAGTTCGCCTCTTCCTAAGGATTCTTTTTGTAGAACCATAATGTCCAATTCGATATTGAAGGAAAAAGGTTGAAACTCAGGATAGTGTCATTTGTAGACAGCTTTTGATTTGTGGTATCCTTTTTCACATGCTTAGTTCCATAGAAATAGATTGCGTTTGGATCACTAGGAACTTGAAAGTGGTTACCTTAGATTAGGGTGACTTCCAGAAATGAATGTGAATGTGACAAGTGAAATTTGAATTCTTTCTTCTGGATAATTCTTTAAAAAAAAAATTCAGAAAACAACAAGAACTGAACCTTTTGGGGCAGACACTGTCAGGTTGAGCAGTTTCGTGTGAGCCGTTGTTTATTACGTTTTTGGAGAGTGCCCAGTACAAATGCTGCATGGAGTAAAGACGGAATTGTCGCGCTGACTGCCTTGCAACATGAATGATTACTGTAGTTTTTAAAATTATGAAAGTAATATATGTTCATTGTAGGAAAATTGGAAAATATAAGAATAACTTCCATGATCCCAATACCTAGAAATAAACACTTTAACTTTTTGGTTAGTATTGGTCAAACATCACTTTTCCAATAATATTTTCAAATGTAATATATATGTGTATTTTTATATAATTGGAACTACACCAAAAAATATGGGTAACCTTTTTTATAGATAAATCATGAATAATTGATTGATTTTATTAAATATTCTTTTACAGTATTTTTTTATTGCATCGTTTTATCTTAAGTTAAGTAGAGGGAAGAGATGGGAACAGTGAAAGCTCATGGGCCCATAATATAAATTCTGGTCACTCACTCCATCCTACTTCCCCTCGCCCCCCAAGACAAGATCATTTTGAAGCAAATCCCAGCTATCTAATTTCATTTATAAATATTTCAGTAAGTGTCTCTAAAAGGTAAGAACACTTAAAAAACCGTAACAATACCATTATCATACCTAAAATTTTTAATAATAATTCCTTACTAAATCCAATACCTCGATCACTTAAAACATAATTTTTAATAAGTGCATAGTAAGTTATGTGGCTGAACCATCATTTTTATAGAGCTTTATTACTGTGTATCATAAAATTCACCCATTTCAAGTGTTATGCATCACATCACCCTGGTAAGATCCCCATTTTCATTGGCAGTTGATTCCCGCTCCTGCCCCCAGCCTGTCACTCATCCACTTTCTGCCATGAGGTTTGCTCTTTCTGGGCACTTCGTAGAGATGGAGTCGCACAGTTTGTACCCTTTCGCATGTCTTCCGTCTCTCGTGTCACACTTCTGAGGAAGTGCTCCATGACGTCGAGTGCGCCGGTAGCTTGTTCCTGCTTATTGCTGGGTGGTAATCCACGGTGTGGGTATAGACTTTAAGTTCCTTATCTGATTTTCTGTTGTTAATCTTTTTTTCTCTATCCCTGAGTTTGATGTTCGTCTAGATAAATTTTTGTCCATATCCATAGCTTTTTTCTTAGGTTAAATTTCCTCATGAGCTATTTCTGGGCCAAAAGAGATTTTTCAGGCATTTTCGATAACAGTCGCCAAATTGCTTTCGAGAAAAGTTGCGTGTTTATACTCTCATTTAGTAGTGCGCGAGGGTGTGCTTTTCCACAAACCCTTGCCAATAATATTTTATTTATAAAATCAAGCTTATTTTTAAATTTTAGAACGTTCAAAGCCACTTTTTCATTCTTTTCTCAGCTCAACCAGAATGTAAGTTCTTTCCAAAGAAAATTTGTCGGTGAGGTGAAGAGGTGTGAAGAGCTAGAGCGAATATTGGGTGAGTTTGTTTTAATAACCGAAATAATTATTTTTAGAAAATATAGATCGATAGAAAGGGAAAAGAAATCGCCTGTATTCTCAGTATTCAGAGGTAAGCACTGTTACTTAGGTTCATATTATTTTTCCATACTTTTTATTATTCATCTATAAAAGTAAGGATTTAGATATGTAATGGTCAGGTTGTTTTGTTATTAGCTTTGTTTTGTCACTTAATAGTAAGTACTCATTGTAACATCTTTTCATGTTAGTAAACAGATTGACCCAGCATTATTTTTATTTATTTATTTATTTGTTTGTTTATTTATTTGGTGAGGCAACCCTTGGTTGGCCTCACAGATTGCAAGGACTTTGTCCTCTTACAATCCCTTAGTTTTTAAATTTTTTTATACCTACAGCACCTGATATTCCTAGGTGGTCTCCCATCCACGTACTAACCAGGCCCGACCCTGCTTAGCTTCCGAGATCAGATGGGATCGGGTTTGCTCAGGTTGGCATGGTCGTAGACATACCCAGCATTATTTTTAATGGCTGCATAACATTTCATTGTATTAACGTGCCATAATTTATTTAACCAATCCCTTATAGTATAGTATAACTTAGAAACATATGACTTAAAATTATACCAGTGAACGAAGGCCGTAGGAAGTGGCAGATTGGTTGGTCGATAATTTCCTTATTTTCAGGGTTTCCCTTTGCAAAGGTGTTACATCAGTGTTCTCTGGCTGTTAACCAGGAGCTCAAGGCGGCTTCATTTATTTGTAAAATCTTTAACATCTCAGCCCAATTTAGGCATTATTAATTCAAGCCTTGAAGTTTTGACTGCAATAGAGGTTAAAATGATCTCAGACAATTGACTAAAGCACAAAATTTGTTTTTAGAAGGATGGACAGAAAAACATGCGAATGAGAGACTTGGTGGGGAGAATGTGACTTTTAGAATAATTTCTAATAGCTAGTAATTATTGTGGATTTTATATTTTTTAATTGGGGATTTTTAAGATAGAAAAAAAACTTTTAGTCACCTGAAATCGATTCCTTGTCGTCTTGTTCGCGGTCCTGGTTGTATGTGTGGGTTGTGTATGGTCGAGTGACATCATATCCCTGTCTTTGAAATACATGCGAGTCATCGGACAGGTCGTATGTTTGGAATGAGGTTTTTAAAGACAGGGCGAGAGCGATAACACATTAGACGTGTCTAGGACTCCTGTAGCATAAACTGTTTCAAAAAGAGGCAGGCTTAAAAAAAAAAGGAACTCTCCAGTAAATTTCGGTGTAAATAAGTTCAAACGATTTGCGCCCATCTCCAGAAAACAATTAAAGCACCCAGTGAGTCCTTTGCTGTCTCCCTTTTTTCTTTCTTTCTTCTTAATAAAACAAATAGTAACATTTCTCCAAAATATTATATCTAGTAAGGACTTGACCAGGTATTATGACTTTTATCCTAAGGAAAAGGACACTTCATGGAATTGAAAATATAAACTAAAGAAATCCATTTTGGCTGGTTCACTGTTAGTTTGGGGAATCTAGTTTTCACCCCGTCAGGAAGCAGTGCAGGTTGTGGGGTCAGATGTCATGGCCAGCAGGGGGCGCTCAGGAGAGCCTGGCTTCCTGCCCTGGGTGGCTGGGGGCTCCGTGGGCTGAAAGATTGTGGCTTTCTTGATACGGATACTTATTTCCTCCTATGGGGTCTGCAGGGCAGTCCCTTGTGCTGTCTGGTGGGGATGAAGACAGGTCTGTTTTGGGGGTATTCCTGCACTTCCAGGTGCGCCCTTAGCCCTCTGCTTCATCTGCAGGTGCAGAGACAGCTGTGACTGCACAGTTCTTTAACTGGAATTTTAGAAATGAAGAAATGTGTTTATCCAGGTTATTGTTTACTTTGATGCCGCGTGCTGCTTTACAGCGGGCGACCTGTATGTCGTTGGAACAAGCGAGATTTTCATGGGTTTAGACAGATAGATTTTCAGATGACCTAGGGAGGGTTGGGATGTGACATGTTCTGCCTGAAATGTCTCATAGTAAGTTTTCGCGTCTAATGTGTTTAACTTTTGTTTCCGTAGCGTATTTGGTGCAAGAAATTAATAAAGCAGATATTCCCCTTCCTGAGGGAGAGACCAGTCCCCCTGCACCGCCGCTTAAACAGGTGCTGGAAATGCAGGTAACGTGTCTGAAGAAGCTGCTCCGGGCCGCCGGTCTCGGACACTGCTTCTTTACTTTCTTGATGTCGTCTAGCGCTTTTCTGCCTTTCTTCCTGAAACCGTGGAGTGAAAATTAAAGAGCCATGTTGTGGTTTACCCTTAGCCATAGGTTATCGCTGAGACATTTTACCTGTCATTTGGTTTTCTTTTAAGATGTAAGATGTGTGCCCCCTTTCCGGGCGGTGTCTAACAGAGGCAAACGAGAATGAGCTCGCGGGCCCCGGTCCTCAGTTATGGAATGTTTCCGAAAGGTGGTTCCGGGCCGAGCCAGGCCTCAGCCTGCCTCCCCTGCTGCCGGCCGCCGGGGCCGCAGCCCTGCGTCCTCACGCTCGTGCCATTCACCGACCCTTCCCCCTCGCTTTTCAGAAGCTCCCATGAAGGTGGTTTCAGGGGACAGAATTCCTTCTCCCCGGGTTCAGTGTGTCTCAGGTGTTGGGGATACAGCGTCCCCCCTGTGTGTACACTGGCTTGTCTTGTTCTCACAGCCACCCCCACGCCCCACCACGAATTATCCACTGAGGTTTCTGTCTAACCTTATCTGATGTTTATCACACTGGGAAATAGACGAGAGCTCCTTATAGCGCCTCGAAAACAGCTGTGACCATGTGCCTGGGACCACTCCACCGCTGGCGCCCTCTTTGTTTACCTGGGAGGAAGTCACTTAACACTAGGCATGAGTGGACTCCAGCGAGAATCGTATGGTCAGAGGAGTAGGAAGCAGTCATCCGGTTTGGCCTGCTTGCTGGTAGTTAGGATGTTGTTGGAAATGTAGTGCTTACTGACTGTTTGCAGTTTTGATAAGGCAGAGCACAGTAATGAATGTATATGTCAAAGGATCTGTTTGAATACAAGTTTTCATTGCGCCAATCATTTCTTCAGATTTCTGCTTCTGTGGTTTTAATTCTTAAATAGTGTTAAGGGTGCTTCATATATAACTGATGATTAAGGTTTCTTCTCAAGAAATTTTGTGCTCAGTTAATTGTGTAAATACAACTGAGTACAAACTCTTAAGCCGGACATTCAAGGAAAACTTGTGTTTAGAAAAGATTAGCTAAATAATTTTTCTGTGTCGCAAATAAAAGGAAGCGTAGACTTGAGGGAGGAAGACGGATGCGTGACGACAGGTAAGCAGCTGACGGGAAGCCGAAGGTGACGTAGGAACCGAGGTTAGGGCCAGGTGCCTCCTCAGCGTACTTAGAGTCACCATGGCACGCCGGACCCTTTCTGTCATCTGTGGCCTGAGCTCCGTAGGAAGTAGCTGAATTAACAGGGAATAGTGAATGACGGACTTTTAAAATCTTTGCGTGTTTTCATATCTCTGTCAAACTGTCACGAATTCTGGCTTTTTAAGACCTCCGCTGGTTTTGGTGTCCCGTAAAAAAAATATTGTCCGAACTGCCGTCGGAACTAACCTGGAGTCCTAAGTGACTGCTGTGTTCTTTCAGGAGCAGCTGCAGAAGCTCGAGGTTGAGCTGAGAGAAGTCACTAAGAACAAGGAGAAGCTGAGGAAAAACTTGCTTGAACTGATCGAGTATACGCACATGCTGAGAGTGACAAAGAAGTTCGTCAGACGGACCGTGGAGGTACTGACGACGCACGCGAGGAAGTGCGTTTCTTCTCTAATTCTGGTTCCCGTACGGTCCCAGGTTCCGTGATCAATTCCTAGCGATGCGCTGCTGTTTCCAAGGGCTGCGTTTCCATCTTAGCTTTATTTTTCCGTTGGATTCTATGACATTCTGAAAAGCTTTAAGCCTTTTTTTGTGTGTGTTGATTGGTTTCAGCAAGAACAGTATCTCCTGTTTGTACCGTGCTATAATTTGCAGTTAAAAAAATTTTTATGATCATGAGAAAAAATTGAACAGAGGAAGTTGAACTCTAAAATTTAGGGTTTTTTTTTTTTCCCCTCTAAATGCTAAGAGTAAAGGAGGTTAAAAATACCCTCTCAGTCAGTAAAGAACAGTCTATTTGTAGTAATCTGTCCTCAGCTGAGTACCAGAGAGAAGGACATTCCTTCTGAACTCAGTGTCACTTCAAACGATTACTTTATCTTGGATTAAGGCGATGACATAAGTTTTAGCCATACTTACATGTAAATGTCTTCAAGCAGCTTACACGTAAGCATGCGGAAGTTACCTTTTTTATGAATCAGAGCTGAGTTACATGTCTGAGTTACCTTGGGGCCTTGGCACACACATCTGAGCAGTCACTTAGGATGCCCTAACCTTGTCTGGAAACGTGACATGAGAAGTAAAGTGTCACTTTTCATATCTCTTTGTAGTTTGAACCCACTTACGAAGAATTCCCTTCCTTAGACACTGATTCTTTGTTGGACTACAGCTGTATGCAGCGGCTGGGAGCGAAGCTGGGGTAGGTGACAAGATAGTAATGGGGGTGTCTCGTCAGAGGAAGACTGACTGTACCATGGGTGAATGGGCACCATTTGTGCGCCTGTGAGTGAATGAAAGGAAGTGAATATTTAATAAAACACTGTACGCTCCTGTATTCGCTGAGTTGAATTACTGAGCTGTGTTGACTTTTTAGCTAAATAGGACGGCTATTTCTTTTTGTGGCATCATGAGTTGGAAAGAAGGAACGTTAATGCAGTGTCATTTACTCCAGGAAACCTGAAATGGTCGATCAGTGAGCATCAGGTCCATTTTGTTTGCTGGAAACACAGGGACTGAACTGAGTTGGTTAAAATATTAATTATACTTTAAGGATCTTTTTCTCCTGTTAATTCTTTCCATTTACACAAACTAATGGTAACTTTAGTTTTTAGTGTTTCCTCGTGTGACTTGTGATTTCTTTTTATTACGAATTTATGTTCTCCTCCTTATCTGTAGGAGTTCAGTGTTTAGTTTGAGGATGTTGTATTCCTCCAGAGAGAACTGAGTTTTACATTTGTCAGGTACCTGGGAGCCCACTGTCAACCTGGAATCATTTTACGTTAATTTCTTGGTTTGGGTTTTTTTTCCCCGTTTTTTTTTTTTCCCCTTCACTATGCAAGTAATGTGAATCTGAGCCACAAGTCTGAATGAATTCTGATCTGTGGCTATAATTCTCAAGACCTTTCTGCTTCTATCCGGACCCCCAACGAAAATAAACGAGTTTACTTGCAGGCTCCTTTGCAAGGTGGCATTTTTCCTTGTTCACCCAAAGGTGTGGCCCTTTGGGCGGACCCTGGTTTTATTGGGCACTGGGGGATTTCAGTGTCACCCCCTCACTTTCCATGCCCAGTGCCCATCTCTTGTCCCCCTCGCCGGCCTTCAGATCCTGATCGGTGGGGTAGCTACCAGTGTCTTTTCGATTCCAAGAATATCTCTAATTCTAGACTCGGCTATATGTTGAAAAGGATGTTTCAAAAACAGTTTATCCTGCATTTTAGGCATCCGACAGTTGGAGTGCTTTCTGTATCTCTTCATCATTTTGGCAGAAATGAGTCTTCATCATCTTTTTAGTGCAATTTGATAGGAATTCTTTGCTTCCAGTTGACTACAGCTTGCCTTTGTCGTCCTGTAGATTTGTATCTGGCCTAATTAACCAAGGAAAAGTTGAAGCATTCGAAAGAATGCTGTGGCGAGTCTGCAAAGGGTACACCATCGTGACCTACGCAGAGCTGGACGAGCCCCTCGAAGACCCCGAAACAGTGAGTGCACGTCACGGTTGGTCACCTCTTGTCAGTGACAGACTTACAGTGAGTTGGAGGCACAGGGCACAGCGACCCACCTGAGAGTGAGGGCCACCTGCCTTGTCGGCCTCCAGCATGTTTGGGTCGTTCCTAAAATCAGGGGCTTTCTTCCGCACCGCCCCGCGTCACCGCCCCATGTCACCACCCCATGTCACCGCCACATGTCACCGCCCTACGTCACTGCCCTCTGAGCTCAGGTCCCAGTACTGTCTTTTATGGCAGAGGATCTAGTTTAGAATCACACTTTGGATTTAATCGGCACATGTCTTTGGTCTGCTTCATTCAGGGACGATTTCTCAGTCTTTCGTTGACTTTCATGATCTTGACACTTAAAATGGTTACATACCAATTCCTTTGGTGGAATGCCCCTCGGTTCGGCTCTGGCATTTTCTCAAGATCAGACGCAGCTCATGCGTCTCTGGCAGTTACTTCACAGAAGTGCGATCTTGGCCTGCCCCTTCCTGTAAGCCCCTAAGGGTCCCATGCACTTCTGTGGCTTTAACTGCCGTCCCTAAATGAATGTAAGTGCCTGGGGCCTCTCCCAGAACAGCCAAACGACATGTAACGGGCTACTCCGTGTCATCATTCCAACGTCTGGAAGACGACTCTACCCTGTGCCTGACTCCGAGATCCTGCCCCTCCCCCCGGCCCACCCTCCAGGCAGCTACGACCCGGGGGTCACCCTTGACTCGCCCCTGTGTCCTCACACTTCGCGTCTAGTCCTTCAGCAGCCCTGTGGGCCCCGTCTTTTAGGCAGCAGGAGAGTCCGGCCACGGGTCGCCCCCATTGGCAGCGCCGGTTCCTAGAGACGGCCCCATGCCTGAAGCATGTCTGTTTTGCAGGGGTCCCCGCCCGAGCCCCCGCCCCACCCCGTCAGGGATTTGTATCTGTTTTGTTCGCTGCTGTATTCCCAGCACCCAGAGCAGTGCCTGACAGGCCAAACACCTGTCCATTTTACTGGTAGAATATTTGTAAAAGCGCCCATTCTCGTCATTCGTGGTCGACCTGTTCTGTAAAGTCTCCGTGAGCACCGAGTCACTGCTCTGGGGGAGACCAGGACGAGCTTCCTGCGGGCCTCTGCTCACATTTGTCAGCCGGTCACTATGTCACCTGTTTTATATGTTTCTGTTGAAGGACACCTGATTTAACACGTATCGTTGATTCATGACATTGAGCTCACCTCAGCAGCACTGTCCCTCAGGCCCTGAGCAAAGGTTATGCGGCACACGAATCACCTCCGTAAGGCACGTCACAGCCTTCCCGCGCTCAGGGACACCGAGCAGCGCGTCAGCAGCACACCTGGGCCATTTTAAACAGCAGAATCACCAACCAAAAGCACAGAAATGAGAGGAAAGTGGCCTTAGACCACAAAAAAGGCTCTTGTTTACAGTGTGAGCTGAAACAAGACTGCAGAGTGTCACCTTGTTCCACCTCAGCTGGAACACTGCACGCTGGTGACTCAGAATTCTTGTCACTCCAAATGTCTGCAAACGACTGAAAAACGCGAGTGTCGATTTCGGGTTGGGAATGACTTTTGCAGTGAATTTGCAGTTGTGAATCCACAGATAACGAGGGTTGGCCGTATCTGTTGGATGAGTGAAGGGACAAAGTGTGACAGAATTTGAGCTGCCAGGCTTCAGAGCTCTGGACACAGAAGTCACCATTATTCTTACTTACTCTTTGTAGGGAGAAGTCATAAAGTGGTATGTGTTTTTAATATCCTTTTGGGGAGAGCAGATCGGCCACAAGGTTAAGAAGATATGTGATTGGTAAGAAAAACTTCATTGCGTTGATTTTTTTTGTGTTTGGTAACCTCTAGTTTTCCTTAAATGTTCCTCTGTGTCTGAGAAGCACAGTGGGTGCGAAGGCCGCTGGGTTTTGTCATCTGATACCTTTGCTGTGATGTCATGTTTTTAAACATTTAATTTGTCATCTGTTGCCAGTGCGATACTCAATTTAAAAGTAGAGACCATGTCCATACCTTTCCCAGATTGTTTTGTGTTTTTTTTTTTTGAAATCAAGGCTTAAGATCAATTGGAGAAAGAATCGAATATGTCGTTTTTGTTTTGTTTTTTTTTTTTTTTGGAAATCAAGGCTTAAGATCAGTTGGAGAAAGAATCGAACGAATTCGAATATTTTGTGTCTTCCCGTTGCTTTTAGCTGCACGTGGGCTTGTCTGTCATCACGATGGTTCATCTTTGGTCGAACCCTCGGCAGGTTTCTCTTTTGGGGGAGGGGCGGGGTGTGGGCTCCGAGTGGGCCTTTCGGGATTCAGAGCCGGGCTTTGCCGCTCGCTCTCTGAGCAACCGCTGGCAGGTCACCGAATCACGGTTTCCTCATCTGTAAACAGGAGGTGGCAGTTCCGTTGTCACAGGGCCATTAGGACTCAGGATGGGGGTGAAAGACTCCAGCAGTTATTAAATATGTCACAACAAGAATCTGTCTGTGACTTATTCTCGTCAACAGACGGGAAAAAAAGCAAACGAAGAACGCTCCTTTGTTGTCTCACACGCGGGGAAATTTAGATGGCCTCCTTTCTGTGGGGGTGGGGTGGGGCTTGGCTGTTTGTTTTGGATCAGTGTTCCCAGAGTTTGCTATGGAAACTCTGGGAACCTGTCGTAGTTTTACTAGCTAGATATTTATTTCAACGTAGACTAGAAAAGTAATAACCAACTCCGCAAACTCAGTTTCACAGATATCATCGCGAGGGATAAGGCGAGAGTATTTAATTTTAATAGTCACATTACGTATGGCATCGAAACCTCCAGGCGCTGCAGGGGTGGCTGCAGGTCGGGAGGCTCGCCGTGCTCTCCGCAGGGTGTCCCCAGGTGTCACGCGGCCCTGCAAGCACGTGGCCCTGTGACGGGATGGGGGGTTGTACTGCAGCACAGTCCGAGGCGATCGCTGGCAAACCAGAGCTTTCGTCCCCCTATTTTCACTTTTTTTGTAGGTAACTATTGTGTGTTGCCTCCGTTTTCGTGTTTCAAACTCGTTGAAGGATTCTCACCCCGGGAGGGTGGTGAATTCTAGAAAGTTGGAGTTGGGCGGGAGCTTCGGGAATCCTGAGGGGCAGTAATGGGATTTACATCCCAGAGGGAGTTTGCTGAATTTGTCGAGTTCAGTAAAAATGTGTCGAGTGTCTGTGTGCAGAGCCCTAGCAAAGGCAGGTAGCCGTCTGTGCCTCTGCCTCCCAGAGGGCCGCTTCCGTCCCAGTTTGGAGGGAGATAACGCCCGGCGGTGGATTGAATTTAGTTCTGGTGTTTGACACGGCGTCTCCTGGTCCTGCCGGACGCGCGAGCCTGTTGACTTCTGTCTTCCAGTTACCACTGCCACGTTTACCCGTACCCGAGCACCGCCGAGGAGCGGAGGGAGATTCAGGAGGGCCTGGACACCCGCATTCAGGACCTTTACACTGTGAGTGTCTGCGGGCCGTGAAGCGTTTACACAGCCGCTGACTTTCTTGTCTAACGTGGAGAGCTTTAGTTGTGACAGATCAGGGTGTTGTAGGGAGGTCAGAGTGTCGCTTACCTTCCTCCTCTGCGTGGAGGTTTTATTTCAGCGGCCTGTTAGAGACCTGGATAGTAATAGACTTTACAGTGAAGGCCGTCTTCGCTGTGGCCGTGTGATTCCCCGTCGAGAAGGCTGTCAAGCCTGTGGTGGCCGCTGTTTTACCTGCAGTATTTTAATTCAGTTGTTTACTCAGGTCATTGAGGGCTCTTGGTGGCAGGAAGTGGACTGTGTCCCGCTTACTGCGAAGGGCTTCTCAGCAGGATGGGGTGGGGTAGGGTGGGAGACGGTGGCTCACAGGGGTGGCAGGGAGCTGGGCCAAGGCTGGGAGTGGCTAAGGACCGGGAAGCTCCCCGGACCCAGCTGGACCACCTGCTGCCACAGTGATGTGACTTTGAACCAGTTCCTGTGCCCCTGGGGTCATATTTTATAGAGATGGCTCCCAAGAGAGCTTTGGTTTCCCGCCTGGTGGTGCTGGGGTCGGGAAGGGGTGAGCCGCCCCCGTCTGCCCCCGGGGGGCTGCTGCCTGGACTCACCCTCTGTCAGCGGGGAGAAATCCCCCTAGGAAAGCCGGGCGTCCCCCGGCCAGACACCGAACGTGCCCTCGCCGCTGCAAGCCGGTCTGTCCTTGCCAGGTGCTGCACAAAACGGAGGACTACCTGCGGCAGGTGCTGTGCAAGGCCGCAGAGTCGGTCTACGCGCGCGCCGTCCAGGTGAAGAAGATGAAGGCCATTTACCACATGCTGAACCTGTGCAGCTTCGACGTGACCAACAAGTGCCTCATCGCCGAGGTCTGGTGCCCCGAGGCTGACCTGCCGGACCTGCGGCGCGCGCTCCAGGACGGCTCGGTAAGGCCGCAGCGGGGCCCAGCGTCCTAGCCAGGGTGGGCTCCGGGTAGACGCCCCTGAACCGTGGTGGTGGAGGAGGGCTGGTGTGCAGGGGTGTCTGCGTGGCCCCATTCCTGCACCCCTCTCTGAGTGGCGGTGGCAGTCACAGGCTCATGAGTCAGTGAAGCACCCCGTCTCCTGCCCCCCGCAGCCTCATCCATCCACGGCCCCTGCCCGGATCCCATTGTTCTTGTCCTAGGATGTCTGAGTTCCTCCATCACAGATGAGCAGATGTGAATAGCTTTTTTCTTTCTTTGCTTAATAAAACTTCCCTATTTTTTAAAAAAGCTATTTAATATCCCCCTGTATGGATGTACTGTGGCGTATTTAATTTGTTCCCTGGTCATTTAGGTGGTTTCCAGTTTTGTGCGTGCCATTGCAGTCACTGACACGTGGCCTGCCACAGTCCCCGTGTGCACAGACCCATCTATCTGTAGGATAAAGTCCCGCACGCAGACTTGCTGGATTGAGTCTGACACATGTCACCAGCTATTGCGTTTCTCATTATGAATGAAGTGGAATATCTTTTTGTTTAAGAGCCTTTTAAGAAATTGTTTTTATTTTTTATTTTTTTAATTTAATAAATAAATGTATTGGGGTGACACTGATTAATAAAATTATATAGGTTTCAAGTGTACAGTGCAATAATACGTCATAGGTATATTGCATCGTTTGCTCACCATTCGAAGGTAAATTTTCTTCAGTTGCCGTATATTTGATGTTTAAGAGCCTTATGAGTGTGTAACACACGGTCTCTGCTGCGGCCCCTTTCATCCCTCACCGCCGCTGGACCCCTTGCACTCACTGCTCTCGGGCTGGACGAGACCCTTCCCAGGCTCAGCCTGTCGTGGGCTGGCCACTGTGCTGTCCAGGGGAAGCCCCCTGGCTGCCGGGGGGTCTTTCCCCGCAGGTCTCTCAGATGGCCCGGTGCTCGCTTCACTTCGTCTGGTCCAGAGGCGGTTATCTCCGTGCAGGTCTTGTAGCATGCAGTGCTTCGTCCCACACCTTGCTGCTCTGTGGTCTATGGGGGCGTAGTTCTGTTATAAATGTTGCCCGTGGCTTTTGGTTTTGCTATCTAGTTACCCTTGAGGGGGTTCAGGGGAGATCAAACCTATGCCATCGCTGGGGACTTTCCCAGAATCCCCTTATTTGTGTGCGTTTTAAGAAATATAATTTGACTAGGAAATTTACTGTTCTGGTAATAACTTTTTTTATTTTACTTATTTACAAAGGATTTTCTTTTTTCATTACAATTGAATATAACGTATTTTATAAGAATTGTAAACTGAAGTATTGAATTTTGGTTTACTCTTACCGGTTTTGTGGTTTTATTAGGTAATACTGGAGCTGTCTCTAATTTCCTCTTGAACAGTTTTATCTTTATTTCCTCTTGAACACTTTTAAGAGAGAAAATACTAAATTTCGGTTTCATGTTGGTGCTCCTGGGACCGCCTGCGTCCGCATGCACCTGCCATTCCTAGCTCCTCGTTCACGTCTCCCGCTGAGCCTCGCCACGCCCTCCCTGCGCAGGACCGCAGCCCCCCACGCCTCCCCAGTTCCTGCTACACTTGACCCTCCTGGGCGGTGGCCAGCGCTTCCCCTCCTAGCCGCACATGGGCGGTGGCAGGCCACCGGTGTTTGTTGAGAGAGCTCCAGGGCAGTCATTTTTCTCTCTTTTATATGAAAGAGAGAGAGCGGCGCCACAATCCCCTCGTTTATGAACACCATCCCAACGAAAGAGACGCCCCCGACTCTCATCCGCACCAACAAATTCACCGAGGGGTTCCAGAACATCGTGGACGCCTATGGAGTCGGCAGCTACAGGGAAGTGAACCCAGGTGGGAAGCCCGAATGTGCGGGTCGAGGGCGCGGAGAGGCTGGGGAGACGGGCTCGCTGCCGCCGCCTCGTCGCCTCGTCGCCTCGTCGGGGCGCAGCGTCGCAGCCTGTCCGCTCGCCGTGGGGCGTCTGGGTTAACGGGCGCACCTCGTCGCCTCGTCGGGGCGCAGCGTCGCAGCCCGTCCGCTCGCCATGGGGCGTCTGGGTTAACGGGCGCGCTCTGCCTTCGCTGCAGCTCTCTTCACCATCATCACCTTCCCCTTCCTGTTCGCCGTGATGTTCGGGGACTTTGGACATGGCTTCGTGATGTTCTTGTTTGCCCTCCTGTTGGTGTTGAATGAAAACCATCCCAGACTCAGTCAGTCACAAGAGGTAAAAATACAAACGGTCCAGTTCGTCTTAACTGGTTGGGCCGCATCAGTAGTGATTATCTCCCGTTCGACCGAAAAAGAGGCGTTTCGCAATCGTTAGTGTTTGGCCATAACCGTAACCCACTTGACTGAGACGGGGTGGGGTGGGGGGTGGGGGGGGTGTGTGTCATCTCTGTGACAGGGACACCCGTCACACTGGCCCTGATGGGAGCGGGCGAGAACGTGTCCGCGTCAGCCCGCAACCCTGTTCTGGCCACACCGCTCTCCACAGATCATGCGGATGTTTTTCAACGGCCGGTACATCCTCCTGCTGATGGGGCTGTTCTCGGTGTACACGGGCCTCATCTACAACGACTGCTTCTCAAAGTCCGTCAACCTTTTCGGCTCGGGGTGGAACGTGTCCGCCATGTACAGCTCCAGTCACTCCCCGGCGGAGCACCAGAAGATGGTGCTTTGGAAGTAAGTGTCCCGCTCCCGATGTTTTAAGGCAGGAAAAGCGTTTTTCCAAGACCCCTCCCCCTCCCTCACAGTGAGCCCTCCCGCTCTGCTCCCTGTTGCAGTGACAGCGTCGTCAGACACAGCAGGGTCTTGCAGCTGGACCCGAGCGTGCCCGGCGTGTTCCGAGGCCCCTACCCTCTCGGCATCGACCCCGTGAGTGCGCGTTCTCCCTGCCACCGTCTCGGGCTCCTCCGGGGCGCTGCCCGGTTTTAACGGTCACGTGCTTGCATGTCATCTACGAATCAGCGATCTGTCCGTGCCTTGCGGAAACAGATCCGTGCGTGCACTGTCTCCGCGCGAAAGCTCTGGGTCCTCAGTCTCCTCGCACCCTGTCCTCGTTCACTCGCCCGGCCTCTCCCGACCCCGGAGCCCCGGTGTGGTGACTCGTGTCTCTTACGGTTCCTTCATGATTCATAAGTAAACGCGTGTTCCCGTTCTCCCCGTTTCACTCAAAAGATAGTTCTGCACTCAGCCTTTTAATTTTCACTTAACATTCAAAGATAAGAGTTTCACGCTGTACATTTTTGTGTGTTTTACCCTGGGCCGGTGTCCATTTTTCTGCATTTTTTGCTTGCTTTCTCCCCCTACCCCTCTCTTCACTCACTTTCCCGCGGTGGCCGCTGTGTGTCTAAATCAGTAAGTTGACTGGACTCTCTTTACCCAGTTCCCAGCCCCAGATTCCTCATTCTAAAATCCTGTTCTCACTTACAAAGAGTCTTTCTGTCCTAGTAGCTCCGGTTCCCTTTTCTTAATCCCCCTGAAGGGGAACTGTAGGAATTGTTTTTTCAAAGACGAAGAGAAACAGTGAACGGAGACTGGAGCGGGCTTGGGGTTGGGGCAGCCCTGGAGTTCGGCCTGGGCCCGTGGGGCCGGCTCTGGGCTTGGTCCTCTGCACCCAGCACCTGTGGGCTCCAGCTAAACTTGACTATAAAATGTGCTTACAAGAGAGTGTGTGAAACGTGTACATGAAGTGATAACGCACGCGCTCTCGTATGTCCCCACCCAGGGTTGGAGGCTCCGGGACCTGCCAGCTCCCCTTGCAGCTGTCCCCAGAGGGACTTCCCGCTCTCCTGAGTGCTGTGTGATAATTCCTCTTGCTTTTCTTTTTAGTATCCCTTCCTGGGTGTGTACCCCCAAACACGATGCTGTCTCGTTGGTATTCTTGGAACTTTATATTAGAGATGGGGTGGTTTTGTGACAGTCGTGGCCCTGGTTTAAGAATAGTAGTTGACAGGTAGAAGCGTCGAGAAGGAAGTCTGCACCCTGCTTTCTTTTTAAATTTACAGCCGCCTCTCGAGGTCAGATAGGGACTTTCTCCAGAGGCAGCTGAAGAAGTTAAAGATTTCTTGTTTTCGTTTTGTCTTTAGATTTGGAACTTGGCCACCAATCGCCTCACTTTTCTAAACTCTTTCAAAATGAAAATGTCTGTGATTTTAGGAATTATTCACATGACTTTTGGAGTCGTTCTGGGAATATTTAACCACTTGTAAGTACAGCTTTTTTTTAAAGCAATATTTCTCAGCCAAGGTTGATATTTCTTAAACTTTGCTCCTCGATGGTAGACCGTATAGGCAAGAGGCAGCCGACATGGTGGCGTGTTCTCTGATATGATGCTGCTTTTGACGACACAGGTTTTTGGCAGTTTCATGGATCCATTCGCTCAGCAGCTATTTATCGAGCACATAGTATGTGCCGGGCACTGTTTTCAGCACTGGGGCTCGGGCAGTGAGGAGGACAGGGAAGAGGTTTTGCCCTCACTTACATTCAAGTGAGGGAGACGGGCAATGTGGAAATTCATGTTCGTCGCCAGAGTGATTTTTGTCATACTCTTTTTTTAAAATAAATTAGAGAGTTTCCTGTTTGTTTATTAGAGCTAGTGTATTGAAGTGTATCTCTTTTCTTGAACTGGATCTGGCGGCGAAACGCAGGCCGTTTCTACGGCCCTCCCACTTCTCACAGATGTGTCCGAATCCCTAGTGTGAATCGCGAGATGAACGATGTTACGCTGATAGGCTTTGCACAAAGAATTCACTTTGCATCTTAGTCCAGCCTTGTTTGTGGGTTGATCGGTTACTTTTTCTTCTAGGCATTTCAGGAAGAAGTTCAACATTTACTTGGTCTCCATCCCAGAACTCCTGTTCATGCTCTGTATGTTCGGATACCTGATATTTATGATCGTCTACAAGTGGCTGGTGTACTCCGCGAAGACCTCCAGAGCCGCTCCCAGCATCCTCATCGAGTTTATCAACATGTTCTTATTTCCGGCCAGTGAAACGAGTGGTCTGTACGTGGGGCAGGTAAGCAGCCTCTGTTCCTGCCGCCGGGCGTCCCCGGCAGTCCTCCCGAGAGCTTCTGTTTCGACAGTAGAGCGACCGAGGTGCGTTTCTCCTGGCCTTCCGGGCACCCGGCGCCTCCTGTTTCTCTGTCATCACGGGGGGGCGCCGTCCTGCTCCGGCCGCTGTCCTGGGGACTCTGGTCAGGCGACGTAATGCAGACCCACTGCCACTCAGTGCCTATGAAGCCTGGTGGGAAGGCAGTGTGTTCCTGGAAGGTTCCTGAGGGCTTCCTAGTCCTCCTGTCTTTCCAGGTCATCACAGAACCAACACCTGCACCGTAGCACACCTGCCCTCTTCCTGGGTGGCTTTTCTATAATAGCACGTCTGTGCGATGCCAGTGCATCTGCCATGTGGCCCGGTGGCCGAGAGTGTGGCCTCTGAGGGCTGACTGCCCTGCCTGCCATCCCAGCTCTGACACTTCCTCCAAGCAGAACTTGGAGCATATTCCTTGACTTCTCTGTGCCTCAGTTTCCTCATCGGTAAAATGGGAATCAAAGTAGGGTGGCTTTTCTATAATAGCACGTCTGTGCGATGCCACTGCATCTGCCATGTGGCCCGGTGGCCGAGAGTGTGGCCTCTGAGGGCTGACTGCCCTGCCTGCCATCCCAGCTCTGACACTTCCTCCAAGCAGAACTTGGAGCATATTCCTTGACTTCTCTGTGCCTCAGTTTCCTCATCTGTAAAATGGGAATAAAAGTAGGACCCAATTCGTAGTGTAGAGTTAGAAAGTACCCGGCACCTACCAGACGCTCGGTACGTGTTAGCACGTGCTGTCGTCATGCTGAGTGCCACAGCGCCCTGCCTGCAGGTTGGCGGTGAAGGCATCGCGGGTCACACCGCAGCGTCTGTGGGACGTGGGGGATCCTCTGTCGCTGTCAGAGGCTGTCCTCCTGAGCTGCATTTGCGTTTTTGTTTGTAAATCTTGTTGACCGTGCGGATGGGACGTTTGGGTTTGTTTCTCGCCTTCCCCCGACTGCCAGAAGCTTTAAGTCAGGTTCCGAGCCCAGCTTACCTCGCTGCGGCTTTGTCTGTGAGCTGCACGTGTGTATCCTGCTTGAGCTTAGAGTGTTTTCCTTTTTTTTTACGTTTTTCCTGTTCAGGATTTTTAAAAACTGTATTTTATATTTTATCATTATTTTATTGAACCTTCGTAGAACGACGAATGGCACAGATTAGTAAACACGTAAGGGAGCGCCGAGGGGCACAGGCGCTGTGGTCAGAAAGATCAGTAACGGGACCCACCTTTATTAAGCACCTGCTGCATGCCAGAAACGTGCTTTCCGTCATCACGCTTTCTTAATTGTCACACCAGCCCCCGAGGGAGGTGGTGTCATTCCGGTGGCCAGGTTGCTTAGCTGCCAGCGGGTCCCAGATGTCAGCCTCATCTGCCTGAGTGCACAGCCTGTGACCTCTGCTGTGGCTGTGCCCGTGGCCCCCACTCCTCTCAGCCTTTCAGGGGTGAATCGTGGTGGTGGTGTGGTCTGAGACCCAAGACCCAGATATTACTACCCGATGCTGGCCGTGAGTGGTGCACACGGCTCTGGGGACCTGTGTCTAATGTGAGGAGGGCCACTGAGAGGGATGAGCGGTGGACAGGTCAGTAACCACCTCCAGACCTGTTAAGACCGTGCGAACTGCAGCGGCTATGTAGGCACAGATCTGCTGCCTCTGATTTATTTTTAAGTGACTGCAAAACTCCTTTCTTTTTAAGAAAATGTTTTTAGTTGTGTTCTGAATGCTATTTCAGTATTCATACATAGAGGTAAATGCACTTGCTACATGCTCGCGTTCCTCAAATAGTCCTTATAATTTAAAAATAAAACAACAGAATCCAGAATATAAAAAAGTGTATAGCTCGTGTTTGTATTTTCCCAGTTACAGCCTTTTCAGAAAATTATCCGCTAGAGTTTGACTCTTGAGACAGATTTCTTCCTGACCTAAGCAAAGCGATACCTTGCCACTCTCGCTGGTGTCAGTCGTCAGTCCTGGAATTCAGCTACGGGTGCAGGAAGAGAAGGGGAAAGGTCCACCGGCAAATAAATTTGGTTTGCGTTTCCTTTATGTTCCTTGTTAATGATTACAGGGACATTGTACTTGATTTTCGCTAATTTAATGAAGCGGGCGGACGACAGTGACGAGCCTTTCCGTCCTCATCGGCTGCCCCCTTCTTCCCCTACAGGAGCACGTCCAGAGGCTGCTGCTGGCGGTCACCGCGCTGTCCGTGCCCGTGCTCTTCCTGGGGAGGCCCCTCTTTTTGCTGTGGCTGCACAACGGGCGCAGCTGCTTAGGGGTCAGCCGGGTGAGTAAGCCGGGTGCGCCTGTGAGTGGCGAGCAAGGTCTGCTCGCCGTCGGGCCAGGTTTGGTAAAGGGGACGCCTTTCAGAGCCCGTCTCGGTCAAAGCCGAGGCGCCCTCTCTTTAGGACTTAATCGTGGGGAGCCCCGGGCGCGCGGGGTGGGGCGGGGGGGTAGGGGGAGAGGAGTGGGGCGGGGCAGAGGCTGCTGTCACAGACCAGCCTTTAGGAGTTCGACCCAAACCCTTCGCTGTGGCTT